TGTCACTTTTCTCCTCAGATAAGTTAAGTGTGGAAACATCTCATCTTACAAAAATCAGTCTCTACTTGAATCATTTTTCCACAATAACAGCAAGCTTTCTGTATACACATTACTGTAATAATGTCAAAGTTCAGTCATACTCAGGGTTTATTAGATTTTGTTTCATTCTTTCCCTTGAATTATTCATTGAATATCTATAATTTCCCAAAGAATAATTTCATAAAGTGCTGCAGCAATAAAACTCTCCATGTATAGCACACCAATGTGAATGGTATTTATGATGTACTCAAAGAAAGATCAGCCTGTTACATTAATCATGTAAAACTATTGAAAAATTATGTTTAATCATCTCCATTTCAAAATAAAACCTGCTCAGAGCTTTAAACACTGCAAAACCTGGAATTAAATTTCATACAACATATCCTGCAACTATAAATAATTATTCAGTACTTTGAGGTTTGTGTGGTGTTCAGTAACCTCTCATCTCATTTTCTCTAAATTGTGAGTTGTATTTAATATTTTTTATTTAGTAGGTTTTGCTTAGAATGTTCCAGATTTAATAAGGAGAAACAATAAGATATATAAAGGCCTGTCCTTTGGTGAAGACAAGCTCAATAGAAAGCTGTCTCCTTCCTCAAACCCAGCTCTGACTGAGGAACATCAAGGCACTGGCAGAGCTTCAGGCACCTTCTGTGCTTATCTCAGTCTCTGCAACAGGAAGAAGTGCCCTTGCAGCATTTGTGCTGGGATGGCAGGGTAGGGACACAGGGGGTTCTTACAGAGTGTCACAAACTTCCTACAGGATGATTGTCCATTCAGCAACTGGATGAAGGAAGCAAAGATGTGGCCTGCTGGAGTTCATCACAAATGTAGTGACGCTGGGATGGTCAGCAGCATTAGTAAGATCAGTAAATTCTGTTAAATGCCACCTACTTAGAAGATTAATTTTTCCCTATATCTGACTTCTGAGAGCACTGAACCACACTGTAATTCAACTTGATCTGTCTGACAATTAAACTTTCCAGGTTTTGCTATACACTGCCTGTACAAAGTCAAGAGAAAGTCAAGTATGAGGACAAAACCTGCTCTTCATTAGGCCGGAAGGCAGAGGTTCTGCCCAGTGCTCCTGGCAGGCTCATGTGCTCTGTAAGCCAAAATCATGCTGACACCTTTCAGATGTCTGAAAAGCTAAATAGGGTACACCAAGACACCGAGTGTGTGGCATATGAAAGCAAATAAAAAACGAGTGCTCGTGATTCCTAATGAATCAGAATATATTGTCACAGAGCTTTAACTTTGTCAGGACTGCAGGAACGTGCCATAGAGCCAATTCTTGAAAAGCTGGAATCTGCAAATAAACCACCATGTACTTAATTGGAAAATAAATCTGTGAAAACATGATAAAGCCTTTATGAACTCTAACAAGCAAAGTGTGTGTGTATATAGAATATATAAGCCTATATATATAACTGAAAGCTTTTTTTTTTTCAGAATTTTATGATCCTTACAAAGGAAGCAAAGAATAAACAATTGGTATAATATTAACAACCTAGGCTTTTAGCTTTTAACATTAATAACTTATTTGAAATAGCTCAGCCTCCTGTATATGAGCCACCCTGTAGTGTTTCGGCTGATTCTGATTCTCTTTGTGCAGAAACCTTTTAGCTAATCATTTTCATCTCTGTGTGTCAATAAATCTTGCATCTCTAGGGCAATGACTTTTACTCAGCAAATGTTAAGCAGAAATAAAACCGCCCAGAACAGTCTAAGCATGAGAATTTCAATAAGAATTTAGCAATATATTGATCCACTTCTCCCCCTTCTGACTTTTCATTACTATGTCACTTTCAACTCCCAAATTCAATAAGATAAAAAGCCAAAATAGCATGTGACTTACGGGCTTCAGCCAACACTACTAAAATTATTTTTGAATGGCTTATTCACCAACAGTAAACTCATAAAATGGTCAATATTCTGTACTTGAACAGTTGACAGTCACACACTACAAGTGAATGACCTCTTCTATAGACAGAATAAAAAGGAGAAATTATAAGATAAAAAATTAATATATGCAATAGTAGGAAGACAAAGCCTGTAATGAAAAGCCATGTTTCTATGAATTTCTAAATTTAACATATTATTACATGCCCTACATTTCCTTTCCTTGGGAGTCAGCTGACAAAGTATTTACATTCAATATTGTTTCTTAAATAAAGCAAAATTAAGTCCAAGCAACTCTTGTGTAATTATTTATAAGGATCTACCACCCAAAAGCCACTTGGATGTGTCAAATCACACTTTCTGCACACCAGATGAACAACTACTATTTCCATTCCCCTAATATCTATCAACAAGAATCAGAAAATAATCAATAGCCACAAAGGAATTTGGCCACTAAATGCAGTCTACATTCCAAAATGTAGAAAGTGATAAATAATCCAAGGTAAAAGCACTATTTGTAACCTTGTTGCTAAACCTGAGAAGTAAAACTAACAGTATTCTCATGTCCTGTATGTTTTGTGACAATGGTATCACTTTGTTTCCCAGAGGACAGAGGACACATGGTTACATATCTGAAGGTTCCCAGAATACACCAGAATGAAGTTTAACAGCCAAGCAGCCATGGGAGAAATTATGTTGCACTCTGACGGACAATTTTTGTCAGCAACGTGTCAGTTGAAACAAAGCTGCATTAAGAACTTGCTTGGGAAAGCGCATTGCTTCCTAGCCTGAGATGAAAACAAACTGTGGAATTCAGAACTTTCTACAAACTGAAATTACAATTTTGTATCGACTCCATTCTGCACCAAAAAAATGCCAGTTGAGCACTGACTGAAACCTCCCACAACTGTTCCTGCATCATGATCAACATGAGCTTCAGTAACACAAAGCAATCAGGTTTTGTGTGCTACAGCCAACCCAAAGGTTACCTGACTGACCTCAGAATGATGAGTTGATCTCAACCTCTCCAAGTATCACTTGCAGCATCCAAGTGTTGATCCCATTTGTCCTAGCAGAACATTTCCACAGGGGCTTTAGACAAATATTCACAAAGGTTCCCTGGGGCATTTTTTTTTTTGCAGCACTTCATGTAAACCTGTGTACTAGTTCATTGATTTTGGTAGGTATCTTGCCTAGAAAATACCAGTAATGTTTTCTTACTTACCCATGAAATGAGAAAATGGGCTTTGCTTGTGTTCAAATATGAACACAAGTGTATTTTCCACCTTCTTTGATGTGAGATTTCAACTTTGGTTTTCATAACAATGGAAATGTCAGGAAGAAAGAAATAGATTCTGATACCCCAATAATTTTTTTATAACACAGGTGATGTGATGCCAATAAAATTACAACAGAAGTATGAGATAACATTTAATGTGGCCATCTCAAATAAAAGCTAAACTCACCTCAGGCTTCTGAGCATCTAAAGTATTTTTCAAGATCACATTGTAAATTCATAAACTTTGCCATAATAAGAGTCCAAATAATCTGAAGTTTGAGGCAGTCTTGCACAGGTTGTTCCCATAATGTTCTCATTTAAAAAAGTGAAATTATGTAATTAGTCATGACAACAGACTTCTTAAAAATGCAAATTTAGCTGCAGTTTCAGCAAGAGAGTCTGCATTTTATTAGCTGCAGTTCAGATGCATGAGCTACAAAGTCTGCTTGTTCACTCACTGCATGTGTCCCTTCTGAGATTAGGAAAAAGAACAATTTAATAAGAAATAATCCTGCCAAGAACAAATATCCAAGAAGAAAACCTAAAAGAAAAAATTACTTTTTTTTCTAGTTGTCAGATGAGTCCATTAACTTTGATGTGAACTGTGGTCTTAACTCAGGCAAAGAATAATGCACTAGGCCATTTCACAACTATTTGTTTATTATATCTTTTAAAAATATTGTGATATTTTCTCAACATAATGGGACCAAAAAACCAAAACAGGTTAAAAAAAAACCCAAACAGGACACAGTGTCAATGCACAGAATATATTAAATACTAAGTAAACTGAGCTGCAGAGAACAAACAAGCTTTGCTTTATGTAATGGTGTTGCCTAAACTCTAACTCTCATAATGGGAAATAAAGCGCTTTTTATGAGGTTCCAGTCCCTCCAGTTATTTGGTAATAATGTCTTCACGGCAAAGTTTGAAAGTAAACCCAATTTTTAAGCAAGCCAGAATCCTGAGTCTTTGGAGATTATCACTGGAGATCAAAGTCAGTAACAAATATCCAGAGCTGAGCAGAGAATGTCAGGGTTGTTTTCTTAGTTCATAGAAGCTTCTGAGTTTGATATGGTCTCCCTGCTAATTAAGATTCAATATACCAGTTAGCTGTGATCTTTGGTGTCTTCCACACCTGAATAATATTTTCTGACATTTAAGTCAAGCTAAATCTGAGTGTCTTAGTGACAGTAATGAACTGTATACTCAGAACTATATTAAAATAAGGTTTCCCAGGCTGGGTTTTCTAAGTGTCTTTGCAAATATAGAGGTAGCAGCAGACTAAGCTCTTCTTAAGATAATCCCATGCCTTGTTACAATATTTCAAGATTAAGATAAAAATTTAGTGTATCTGGGTAAAGAAAAATGTAAAACCTTGTGAAATCTTTATTTTATTTCCTATTGTACAATGCAGTGTTTCTACTGATAGTAAAAAAAAGGTCTCAGACTGAAAGGTCTGAGAATTCTGAGACAGAAATTCAGTCCAGCAAAAATTGCTACTTCTACAAAGGCATAGCTCCTTGTTCATAATATTTTCTATCATAATCATTTTTAAAAATAACATCAGGTTCTTTCTTTTGTCCTTTATAATTCAATGTATTAGTTAGAAATACCTCAAAGAAACAGATGTATGAGAGATTCTCAGATGCTGAAAAAGAGACCACTGCTTTAAAGTCTTATTTTAGTCTGGTACAAAACCAGGAAAAAGAAAACCACGGGTAGGAGAAATGTGAGAGTTATTGTGACTTCTCTTTACTTGTCACATCATGGTATAAATTTTTCCAGCAAAATATAAGCCATTAAATTGCAAACTCAGGAATAACAGCTTACTCAGTAAAAGCATAGGGCCATCTGCCAGCTGTTGAGTCATCACAGACTGTTGGTGCCACATGTTCCTCACAGCAGCTGAATTTTCATCAAACTCTGCAGAATAGCAGGTAGGAAACTATCACAGTCAAAGGAAAAAGACTGTGTGGACAGTGCAATGGAAATGAAAGTGTTAATTAACAGGGCTAACCAACTAATCAAAAAACGGGGAACATGGAACTTCCTGAGCTGCCTAATTTCTTGTCTTGTCAAGGATCAAATCCCGCCTGTTTAAATCCTAAGCAAGGTCACTCAAATCAGCAAAATTAAGCACATGCTAAAGTGAAGTAGATTGTTAAGTGCCACCTATAGAACAGACCTATTTCTCAGACTGAAGCAGATACAGACGTCCTTGTCAGCTTGCATGATTCGCAAAGATTAGATCTCTGTATTGATATTCTTCTAAAAAAAAAGAAGAAAAATGTAAAATTCCAACTAATTCATATTTGACATGTTTTAAAAATAATGCATATTGTAACATTGAAAATGTTTTTAAATTGTGAGAGGAAGAGACTTGCTAAAAAATCAAAAGCATTGCACTTAGATTTTCAATTTAATAACAAAAGTTCCTGCCCTGAAGTAGCTGAAGTGATATGTCATTTCCCACAGAGAGGAAAGGTTCCTTTCCCAATCACATGTTTTCATCCTTGCACTGTCTCTGTGACTCCTTTGACTCTTAGTGAGTTCATTCAACTCTCCAAATTAGCAGAAAAAATACTGAGGGATATTTTTTGTTTTGTTTTGTGGTGGGTTTTTTTTTGGGAGGGTGTAGTTTTCTGCTCATTTAGTCAGCTGAATCAGCTCATGGTCAGTGTCACATGAGCCCCTGAGCCAACAAAGGAAGATGAAGGGAGGAACATGCTGATGACAAACAAGCAGAAAAAAAAGAAGTAAGAGGTGACATTGTCCTCTTGGAGGTTGTGAGCTCCTGCACTGGCTCAGACATAATGCAAGATTTAATACCAAAGATGAACTCCTCCTGACCTGGGCAGGAAAACACCTGAGCATTTGGGGTTTTGCTACAATTAGTTATCAGTCCCAATTCCATCTCTTCTTCCTATGATCCCTAAGGACAATGCATGTTGTATTTGCACACATCCCACTTTTCCACTACTACTGTCTATGGGCTCCACATCCGCCCTAGAAAATAAAGGTTTTCAGGAACTTTAAATAAAAGTAACAGTAAGCCTCACAACTATGATCATGAAGTTCCCTATACTGAGGAACCTTCCCCGTGAAAATTCTTACCAGCTTTCAGTGGCTCCTCTTCTGCTCATAAGTATAAAGTTACTTCACAGAGGTTCAGATCTCCTATTAATTATTCACTGCAGAGATTGAAATTTTGATTAGCAAGGACTAAAATCACTTTTTTGTTTCCTTCTCTTTAATTAATGCCAGTGAAGCTCCTCTTGATAAAGCAATATAAATATTAGTTAAGAAAGCAATGTGATCATGACACCATCAACTGTGCTCACTTAGGGAACATAAAGAAGGAAGACAAATATAAAAAGCAGAATTGAGAATGGAGTATTTTAAGGCCCGAAGTTCAGATATGCATTACCTGCAGTCTATCACAAAACTGGTTTTAATAAATTTCATAGGTATTTTAGCCACAAAGCAAGTATTTTCCTCTGGACTCTGCTCAGTGCATCTCAGAGCTGCTCTAGAAGTAAAATTTCACATAATGAGTTGTCACAGTTTAACCCCAGCTGGCAACTAAGCACCAGGCAGCTGCTCACTAACTCCCCCACCAGCAGGAAATCAAACAACTGACTGCTCTGATTCTCATCTAAAATTGAATTTAAAAAGAAGCTGGCTAATTAGGAATCTCTATAGAGTGTCACAGTCAAATGAAAAGAGATCTGTATCAGAAATTATTTTGAAAAACAGTTAACTTGCATCTAGATCCATAGTTCCATTATTTTTTTGTATCTGCACTAAGAGACTAGTTTGAAAAACAGGTGGGTTTATGTTAAAATAATGGCAATGCCTATATTAGGAATCAAACTGATTTTTCTTTCATTGGATTTTATAAAATATGGGCACAATGGTGAGAAAACATAAGTCAGTCATATAAAGAAAAATATTAGAACTTTCCTCTACTATCATACAGTCCCAGTCCTCTACAACTGCACTACCAAAAAGTTGAAATATGTTCAAAATCCTCTAACATCCAGTCTGTTCAGGACAAAATTTTGCTGTCTTTCCTTCATCTTTCTGATTCTGGGATTCATCATACCTAAGTAATTTCTCAAGCACATATGGATTATGCAGCTCAGCCTCTACAAATAACTAAGATACTTTACTTTCAAAGACATGTAATGAGCTGATGTTAGAAGCCTGGGGCAAATCTGGTTGATTTTGTTAATGAAAATTTATAGCTTTCACTGTGAAACATTTTCTCTACAACCAGACATAAAAGTAACCTTACCTGGAAGTACTCCAATTCAACAGCAGCATTTTGCAATATTTTTTTTTAAATAGTAGCATTAAACATATATATAATAACATCAAATATATACTCAAACCACATTAGCTCTGATTGTGCCAAGCATGATACATGCATTTAGTAATACAATAAGAAGACCCTGTTCCAAACAGCCTGCAGTCTATGTGGACAAAATTAAGGAAGATAGTGACAATCTTGTAGAAAGAAAACTAAGGCAAAGATCAGAATCATAAACCATGTAAGCATTAGGACATAAATAATCTACCACAGGTATGGGAATAGAACAAAGATCTAAGTCTCCCTGAAGTGTCTCAGCCATAAGGCTTCTCCTTCTGAGTAAAATGCAGTATCACTTAGTATTGAACTGTGCAGGTTTTTTAATCAAGCAATATTTCCCTTACATATAAACATAACATTTTCTCCAGAAAGCAAAACCAACTATTTTTCTGTCACCATGCAACTCCCAATGACTTTTCAATTTACAACTAATATACAACCAGCTGTACCTGCCTTTACATTCCATTTACTCATCTTTTTCAGCAGCATCTCCAGATTCCTCCTTTACCTGAAACTACTTGCGGATTTTTCAGAAACCAAACATTAATAGTAAAACTGAGATCTGCTCATCCTGGGAGTGGATGCCTGACTGGCAAGAACCATTCTAATTGGAACATTTGGAGATGCACCTGGAATAACAACCTGTTTTGAGAGTTCCAAGACAGCAGTGGTGACACACCAACACAATACAGTGGAAGAAAAAAGATCTTTTCCTTCTGTATTTACAGACTGCATATGGCAACCCTGAAACAGTTAAAGACCAAAGTAGGGCCTCAGGATTATGTGACAGTGCCTTGGGTGGCCTCATGCCCTCAACTATTATAAAGCATTGACTCAGGGAAGATCAATACCAACATATCCTGGCAGCACTGGAGTTGGGAGCTTATGAATTCTGACAAGATCATAGCCTGAAATGGTAATTGGCAGAGAATGACAGGATTTTTTATTGCTCTTATTGTAGTTGAAAACCAAACATGTGTGGTTTATGTTGATTAGAAAAACAACAAACTCCTTAACTCTTAAACTTCAGCCTTTATTACTATATTTGGGTCTCACATTTTTCTTCCTCATTTCAGTCAATAGGGCCACTTTCAGTTGAGGGTTTGGGGGTTTGTTTTGCTTTTGAAAAGAGAACAATTATTCAAATTTGAGGTCTAGAAAATTTTGCTACAGTTACTAATATCATATTTCCAACAGCAGTCAGGGCAATGTGTAAAATCTTCTGGAATTAATAGACCAAAGAGGAAAAGGAAAGATGGCAACACACTGTATCTTAACAGCTGGATGCCAATTACCACTCTCTGTTAACAAACCACAGCCATTTACTAGAGGTGTCTTTGCCTCCCCACTTGCACAAAGTGGCAATTCAATTAGACATCTCTTCCTTCCACACAGCTCGAAATTTTAAACAAGTTTCACCTAAAAAGATTATTGACCTCCACTTCATTTCATTGAAGCCATCATTACACTCCTTTATTGGCATCCAAGTTATTATAAATTATGGCTCTTTCACAATTCTGTAGCTTTCATCTTTGCATGCTTTTAAGGTTGACCCCTAAGAAGATCTGCTGTAGAAAAAGGAATTCTCTTGATCACGTGAGATAGTTTAAAGAGATCTGTATTACATCAGGTGAGGTGTCAACAGAAATTTGCCATGGTGTGCACTTCTAGTAATGCCACCTGTAGCACACTAAATGCATTTGACATTATTAGACCCTTCTAATTTCTTTTTCCTTGCTGAAAAATTTGTCATGGTTCCTTGATTGCTCTGTTTCTCAGTATCTGAGGAAGGAAATTACATATGCCCATATGACAACATCATCAGCATTCAAGATTAAATGTATAATTCAGGAACAGGGTAAACTGAGGATTTAAACTGAACAAATCTGAAAGAATAATCATTTGGAGGCTTCTGGGGAGGTTCTGCTATTGGGTGTCCAAGCCTTCAGTCTATACCCACATCTTGTTTTCTCTGTATTCTCTTTATCTAAAGATGGCTACTTCAGAAGCAACTCCTAATCACAAATTCCCTAATCCATTGGTTACTAGAAGCTTTTGGAATTTAGCAGGGCAATGATTTCTCTTTCTAATTCTGGTCCTTTTTTTCCCCTATGCATTTACTGCTGGGATGATACCAGGAGTCCCTATGATTGACAAAAGATGGAAAGAAGGATGTTTAAGATAAAATACTCCAGTGATAACACTGTCATCTGTTTTGCTAATCTGCCATGTGGAGTCTCTGTGAAGAATCCAGGGCAGGCAGAAAACTGGGGGTTGAACAGGACACCCATATAGTGAGCAATCCTTCCAACACACAATTTGGAAAATACGAACTGTTTCAGTGCATTAAATCAGCAGAAAAACTATTCACTTTTGTGGTATTAATTTTCTGCCAACTCAGTGCATTGAAATGGCTCAGCAACCCAATGACCAAGGGACCTGAGGAAAGGGCTTGCCCAGAGGCAAGAGATGGAACAAGGCAGCCAGCAGTTCAATTGCCTTAGGGTGCTAGAGAGCTACAGCCTGCATTTCCAGCCAGTTTTACCCGTGACTGGCTTGTCGAGAGGTCAGATGGGGAGCTGTGCTGTTGTAAGGAAACGGGAACGCACAGCTGGAGGAAAAGGAGAACAGCAGCACTCCAGTGGCCCTTTAAACTAATTTAAGCCTTAGAGTGACTGGTGCCCTACGTTTCTCAGTTCTGTTTCCAAAGGTCACATCATTACATACGATTAACTCCCTCAAATGGATTGGTGAAGATATTTCTAAAGGACTGTTGGTGAGAGATCACTCAGCAACCTCACTGTTAACATCTAACCTGCCTGCTCCAGCTTCTCTCTTACTCTGAAAGACCTGAAGACAACTTAGCCTAACTTGTAAAGTGGGGAACTGGTAACAGAGACACAGAGAAGCTGACTGAGCTGCACACCTGCATTATCCAAAAGATTAGGTTTCCCTTTGATCCTGTCAATAACAAAGGTGCTTTTGCACATCTGTAAAACACCTAGTTCATATTTTCCCTTTTTCCCCCCATAAAAATTCCTATTGAATCAAAGTGTCTGGGAGCTATCCCTAAGTGGGGCAAACCAAGTATTGGTTACAGCTCTGCAAGGAAAAATGCTCTGAGGAAAGAAAGGAGGGAGAGAAGATATTGTTCCTATTTAAAACAAAGAAAAAATCTAGCTAAAGATTTATTGACTTCACTTTTGGTTTAAGCTCTCTAGATATCTTCCTAATTAATATGCAGTGTCACTCACAGAGCAATCAGAAAATGAGAAAATCAAAGGCAAGAGAAAAGCTGGGAATTGCACTTCTCACACTACTTGTTGCAACCTTTTCCAACTCTTGGTCTACTGCACCTCACAGAGGGGACTGAGTTATGAGACCTGAATTCTTTGTGGAGAGATCTGAGCCAGTCTGTGCTACATTGTGCCCTCAGGTGCACAAGTGCAATGTCACCAGACTTGCATACAAGCACCTAAATATTCTCTAGTATCTTAAACAGAAAGATTTGTTTAGTATTCCTATTGAAGAAGAAACTTACCATTTAAATATGTTTTAGGAAACCAAATACCTTTTGCATAATTTATCTGTTTGGCTGGAGCAGCAAAACACTTTCATCTGATATGTGCAGTACCTGGCAAAATTTTATATATTTATATAAAATATATTACTAAAATAACTAACAATGTTTTTGTGTAGCATAAGTCTTTTTCTAAACTTGTCTAGGGAGTATATAATGTATTTCGCTGACTTATATAATATCTAACAACGTTTATTTCTGCAATTTGCAAAATTTCTGTTACACTAATAGCAAAATATGAGCCCATTTCTTCAGCTAATTAAGTCACATATAAGTATTCTCATGTGTGTTAGTTGAAAACTGCTTTAAGTACCAGAAATGTCAGCACATTTCAAAGATACCATGTTCCTATCCTGCTAGGATTCAGTCTGTAATAACATTTGTAATTCCTTTTACCCTATGCCCCTCAATTTACATCACTTTTATAAAACCTTCAAAATTATACTTGATACTAAACTGTGTGCATGCAATAATGGGGGGGGGGAGAAGCCAAGCTAGTAAGAACCAAGGGAAAAAAAAACAAACAAAACAGATAAGCCATGAAAAATGTAACCCAAAACCACACAGGTCACAACTTCTGTAAATCACATTATTCAAATAGATGTGCTCTGATTTCTGATTTGGTCTGTAGACTGGACCAAATTATACCATTTATCCAAACTTCCCTACATATAAAGTGCTTGGAACATTATGTAACAACTTTTAACAGAGAAAAAAAACCTGTTGTAAAATACTAATAATTTCATAATCCCACATGAAATTCTAGAACTGGTAAAGGACCCTGGCTGATTAACATCTAGGATTCCATTAGGGAATATTCCTGGATGCTTATTTAACAGTCACAAGTTGAAGCTCCTATAAAAGTGAGCCAAGAAACTACTTCCTTTTCCCTACATGGTCTCTGTGAGCACAGGTTATGTCACAGAGCAGCTTCAGGGGTTGCTCAGGAGAGCAGCTCAGCTTGTTTCTTTTCTTTTTCTTGGGGGCTCTCTGGTATTTTCTCAGGTAGCTGCACAAGGTGGTATTTGTTCTGGGGCTGTCCTTGCTGGATGTTAGAGGCTGCTCTGCAAATAAAGTAGTGCCACAGTGTCACCTACTGGGAAGTTCTGCCTCTGCCTTTCTTCTTACAGTGCCAAAAACGATAAAGAACAAAAAGGAAAATCCGTGTGTTGGTTTTACCTGGTTTCTGATACTTCACATTCCAGGCCACTATACTCCTATTAAAAGCTTTTTTTTCCTTTTTCTAAAAAACAGGAAACAGTTCAGAGCAGAACAATAAATATACTGGACTTTTCCTAAGACTGTCATTCAACATATACCTGGTGAGTATTTGGTCTTAACTGGCTGATTTAAATCTATATTGAGCGAGTTGCTGTTCTTTTGATTCCATGCCAGTATTTTAGTGCAAGTTTCTCCTCCACATTTTACTCTATCTTCTCCTTTATTTACTATAATGACACACATTTCCACATGACATTCCACTGACATTTATGTAGTGTGGCAGACCTAGAGTAGCCACAAAACGGGTTTTCAAAAGAAAATATTGTTCATCTTCACATGACTAGCAAGAGCTGGACCAGTGGTCTGTAAAGTGACAACAGTGGTGAAATATCATCTGCAGAAGACAAATAAAAGTAAGCCCACTTTCAAAGCTAAAAGTGAGTAGTGTTATTCATGCATAGTGCCCCTCCTTGATAAATCTGTGAACCAAAACCAAATTAACATCACTTATGTTTTTCCCCTTTTAAAATTTATTTTTATTTTAAAAAAAATTTTATAGCTTTTTTTTTATTATTTTATGTGCTTAAAGCTTTATTCTGTATAAATTACACCCTCCTTGACTGCCCCAAATGACTACTTAGGAAATTGTAATCTGTAAACAAAACAAATCTCTATTTTAGGACTCACAGCGTCACAAGACTTCTCGCCTGCTTTAAAATGAGAAGTGTGAAGACAGAGGGCATTTAAAGCAATCAGTGACTGACTTCATAACATTTAAGTCATTTTGACCAACTAGTTACAAGTGAAGCACAATTAAATTTTATGCACAGTATGAAGTTTCCTCAACAGACACTTGAAATAAAATGATCAAATGTGTCTTTAACAGTAAGAAAAGATGATCACAGACTATGTGATAGTTTCACTTAATATTTTTACAAAGTAGATAATTGTGAGGCTATAAAGGGGAGTCTGGGTCATTGTTACCTTAAGAGAGTAACATAATGAGGTAAATAGGAGTCTTGGCTTTGCTCTTATTTTCTCAGTCACAAAACTTTTATGTCTTTTTCTTCACATGTACTGGAAAAGAAACATTCATTTAATGCTTAGAATCCTGCTTCTAGCTAAGACTAACCTCTCCACCCCAACTCTAACAAAAAATCAATGTCAACTCCTACTCAAGTCAAGAGGTATATTCATATAGTCAACTGCAAGATAGCAACTTACAGAGCTATGAGACATTATTTCCTTATAAACACAGCCCAATACTGCTGCAGTCCACAAGATGGAGTAAAACTTACCTCTATCACCCTTTAGCAAAAGTAGATTAAAGCCTATACTTAGCTCATATGAATCATGGGTGAATAAGAGGCTGCTGATCTCTGAATTCTCAACAAAAATATAAGCATTTCCCAGTGTTTTGAGGAACAAAAGTTGTTAAATTTTCAGTGTCTGAGACCCCAAGATGACAGAATCAATCTTAAAGTAGCTTATAGTAGAATAAACAAGGTATAGGCCTGAAGATTTATATTGCTGCAAGACTACTGAAATTGATTTTCAACTCTCCTATTCTCCTTCCAGAAGACTTCCATCTATGTAGCAAAAAAGCTGATATACAGCATCTACTATCACGTGGCTAAATAAGTGGCGTATCTCAAGCACAGGCAGTTGCTGCACGGAAAAACAGAAAACAAGCCACACATCAGTGGGCTACACCAATAGTTGAGGCACCCAGTAAAATCAAATTTTCATGCTAGGATAATTTCAGTTCCCCTTCATGGTAGAACTTTTCTACCAAACACAGCTCAAATAAATTAGTGAGGTGGCCTTACTGGCTAGTTGGGTTTTCATGTGAATGAAGCAGGCAAGCCCTCATCACAGCAGTGCATCTGTCACACCAAGCCTCCATTTTAACCACAGGCAGAGTCATAAAGGTCTCTTTCATCTGTCACAGCTTAACCGTGTAAATCTGAGATGCCAAAAGGCATTAATTTCCTAATTGAAAATGATGTCTGGGGATACAGATAGCAATAAAAACCTGTACTTTTGTTAAACTTTCCTAACTTGTTTAAAGGTAAACCCTTTCTTCATCTTCCACGCCCCTACGAGTCCATAACTCAGAACACCAAGGGAAGTGCTCAGTCCTGGCCAGGCCTGTCTCGCAGCCCTGCCAATGCAGACAGATGCTTCACCTTGGCTCCAGTACCTGCCCGGGCACCGGTACCTGTCGGGATTCCCGGTACCCAGCCGGGCTCCATGTCCTGCCCCAGCTCCGGTACCTGCCCAGGCTCTATGATCTGCCTGAGCTCCATGACCTGCCCAGGCTTCCACAGTACCCACCCGGGCTCTGTAACCTGATCGGGCTCTGGTCCCTGCGAGGGCTCCGGTGCCTACCCGGGCTCCCGGTACCTTCACGGATTCCCGGTGCCTATCCGGGCTTCAGTACCTGCCCGGATTCCCCGTACCTGCCCGGGATCCATGACCTGCTCGGGCTCCCGGCACCTGCCCGCATCCCCAGTCCCTGCCCCAATTCCTTTGTTCCTGCCGGAATTCCCAGTCTCTGCCGGAATTCCCGGTCCCTGCCCGCATTCCCGGTTCCCGCCCCGCGCCGGGGGCTTGGGCGGCCCCGCCGCCGCTGTCCGCGGTCATGTGACCCGTCCAAGATGGCTGCCGGCGAGCGCCGCGCCGCGCCCGCCGCGGGCAGGGAGGAGGATTTCGAGATTATTGACAAAAAACAGCTCCCTGATGCGGCCGAGCTGAGAAACGAGGAGAAGGCGAAGCCGGAGGAAGGGAGGTGGTCCGCTCCGATCTTGTCGCTGGCCAAGAAAGCCTCGGAAAACTTGGCACTGAGCTATGGCAGCGCCCTGAAGTCCGCGTCCCTGGTGGGGTTCGTGTCCAAGCCCGTCAGCAGTGACAGCCCGGCAAAGACAAGTACGGCTCCGCTTCTTTAGTAAACTCGCTTTTGTGGTGCGCAAATCAGTTCGCTCCCGTAAGTGCTGCTGGTTCGCGTCAGTGGTGCATGGGTGTTACTTTGAATTTTCTTTTTTAAGATGCTGCGGTTTTGTATTGGAGCAAAATTAAACGATCGACACAGATGTAGAACTTAAGAAGTGTATTATAACAAAAAGAAAACTAATATATTTGGGAAAATTGACTTTAGTTTTATGCAGTAAGCTTTTATTTGCTGGCTCTTCTCCCTCTTTTTAAAGCTCCCCTCGGCTGCACTGAGGGATCTCCCAATTCCATGTCCTCCCTAATGTGCTGGTTCAGAGCAGGAACTCGCTGTATCTGTCATGTCAGAGAGTGGACAAGCAAACTAAGATACGGATTTGTTACAAGTTACTTTTTAACTACGCTAAAAGTTTAACCGCAACTTGCTTTGTTGAACATCTGCATTCAAGGATCTAGCAACCATACAGTTTTATGGAACAGGTCTCCTAGAACTGAATGAAAAGGACTTTAGTTGAATCATATGGAAAATAAATCTCAGTGATACTCATAGTGTGGAAAAAACCCCATTCAAATGCAGCAGAAATTGGGACTGGAGCCTTGTACTCCAGTGTCTCATAATGGTGCTTAAGTCTGGAGCAGTGGAGATCAGATTTGCTCCCTTGTGCTACCTTTTTGTTTTTAATGGTACTGAGTGTTCAAGGCAGCGTTCTGTGGGGCTGAGCAGAGACAGGATGGGAAAGCCAATTACCGCTAATGGACTTATTCATTTTTTGTGAAAATTCCTCAGTGTTGGATAGTCAGAGTTTAATTGTCCTGAAAAAAATAGACTCTTGTCTTTCCCTGCATCTCAAAGTCTCACACCAAACTTCTAATGGATTTGTTTCCTGGGTGCCCATCTTGAGCACCTGGGATTTAACCTGACAAACGGGGCAGAATATCCCATTTTCTTCGTTTGCATTTGGAATAATGCTGTGAATACAGGTAATTCACAAGAACATACAGCTTTTGGCAAGGGACAGGGAATGTGATGTCCTCTTGTCCTCTTAAGAGCTCCCACACTTAATGGAACTTTTACCATAGTCTTTCAGCTTCTTCTTTGTAAAGTAAAGGAATACAGCACCACGTCCCCAGATTGTTCAACAGATTTGGATATGTTGATGAGTTTTATGGAAAATTCCATATGAAAAATCTGATCATAATTTAAATATAAAATGTGAACAGGCACTAAGTCACCTGTTCTACCTGTTCAATATTACCTTTGACCGAGCACTATAAATTTAATTTAAAGCAGGTATTTTTAAGAAATAAGCTAAGACCTGCAAGACCACTTGTGGAAAATTCGGAGCTTGTTCCCTGTATCCTCCTTTTCCTGAGATTTTATAACCTCTATCTGGTGCTTCACATCTGTTGATCACATGTTTTAAACACACAAACCCCATTCTAAACTAGGGTGTGCCACTGAAGAAACTATGTCCTGCCTTGCAGAGAGGCCGGGAGCTACAAATCTAAAGAAAACAAATCAAGAAAGACTTGCAGTCCCAAAAACCAAGAGATGGAGAACTGTGAGCTTTCCTTTGTGCTTCAGTGTTTTCTGACTTCAAAGTGTGCTGAATAATTACAGTAAACAAGGCATGTGGCTTCAAAAAGATGTTGGAACAAATCTCTTGAATTAGATGAGAGACAAAACTGTGACTGCATTCTTAAAGATTGCAGCATCATGTCTGTGATCTTTTGCACTTGGGTAACCTGATTCCTAATCTTTGAGGCTTGGCTTTGGTAATGTGTCTAATACCTGTTTATTTTGCATGTACCAACTTGCACAGTTTTGCAAAAGATGTACTTGACTATGTAAACTTGCAACTAAAAAGTCTAAAAAGGAATGTTCAAGTAATTATTTAACTTAATGCAAGCCATTATTAAGACACTTTAAGTTTGTGTTCATAAAGAACATTTCATTCACATTATTTTATTTTTTTAAAATCTTGTGGGTAATACACGTATATTGAGCCAGTCTTACAAGAAAAGTATGCCTGATATGTAAAAATTTTAATTCAGAAAACCATCCAAATGGTTAATATTGAAAACATCCCAAAAAAATCACTGATTTTCTGTTTCTAGTGTGTAACCTGACAATATTGACATTCAAAATATTACAGCCCTTTTAATCCTCAGTCTCATATCTCATTATATGCAGTTTTGAGGCATCCATTGGCTATAGTCAATATACAGTATACTCTACATATAGTATATTGCATATTAACTATATATATTATAGTATAATACAATATACTGTACAGTAACCTACTGAGATGACAAAACTTTGTCTGCTTTGTGGTTATTAAGATCAATTTGATTAGAATGACTCCCTGTTTTCCCTCTTCTGAGACAAGGAAGCATTTTGCTCATTTTTAATCCTAAATTAACAATGTGTGCACAAAAAAGGAAGGTAAAATTAGTACTGAAGAGACTTTTGCACAGTCTTAGGAATAGTGTTGACAATCTTGAGTGTGACTGACACAGGGGAGTGTGACCGTGTCTGACCCACAGGTGACAGCAGGACTGTCCTACTGCAACAGCCGTGGCTTAAAAGAGGATTTCAATGACCACTGGCCTGTGGTTGGCAGCACCTGTTGGAGACTGTGGATGCCTGAAGAAGCAGAGGGGCTGAAGCCAATCCCTGTCCTGCTCCCCGTTTTGTCCCAAAATAGTTTTTTTCCCTGGGTATGCAAGAGGCTGATACACACACAGAGTGCAGGTATTAGATTTATTTACAGTTCTGCAATGAAAGGGGCACTGGGTGGCAAATCCACAAAAACAGCACGATGACCACCAAAACTTTTCAATATTTTAGCAAACAGAGGCATTAATGTTCATTTGCTACAAGTTACCTAGTTCTATTATTAATTAGTATTCTTCTATTGGTTAATGATTCTCTCGCTTCTCATGCTAATTAGTCCACATGCTCAGTCTTTCACTTCTTTTGCATCAGTGGGTTTATTGGGTCAGTGGTCACGATCAGTCCCTGCCGCAATTACCTTTTACCCAGTTGGAGCTGATTCAGCACAGTTGCTGAGTTGGCTTTATTAGTTTTTTCCTTGTCTTGGAGGTTCTGCCGAATGTCATAGAATCATAGCATATGCTGAGTTGAAAGGGATGCACAAGGATCATCGAGTCCAGCTCCTGGCCCTGCACAGAACACCCCAAGACTGCCACCATGTGCCTCAGAGCATTGTCCAAATGCTCCTTGAGCTCTG